GGTGAGGGGCGGGTTTCACAGACGCCCCCCCATCTCCTCCCCGCTCTCGGCGCCGGACCTCTCCCCCTATGGCTCCCGCCTCCGCCGGGACTGGTGGACGTGCGCCGCGCTCGCACCCGGCTGCCAGACGGGACAGGACGCGCCCGCCCCGCCCCGCCCCGCGGCCTGCAGGGGAAGGAAATGCTGAGGCGTGTTTGTCAAGGCTTGGCGTTATTAATATTTTTAAAGAGTGAGCACAAAATAGTAACGACAAATGGAAGGAACTTCATAACAGGGAAAAATTAAAAAGTCCCACCTGCAGACGTTACCAAGCACAAAACGAGAGTTTCCCTCGTGAAGAATCCGCGTGGAAATGCTGGCTTTGGGCCCGCGGGTGTGTCTACAAATACCCAGGTGGAATGGTGTTTAAGGTCCTCCAAACAGTTGTGGTCCCCATGGTCGGGCACTGAACCGGCAGAGATTGGCACGCGCCACCTCATCCTCCCTCCCGAATAGTCACAGGGTAGCGGGCTTGGGGAGCTAGTGAACGGGGTCTAGAAAGGCTTCTTGGAGGAGTGTTATTTCTTCCATGTTCGTGGGATTTGGCTATGCGAAGGGGGAGGAAGCGCTTTCCAGGCAGGGGAACAGCGTGTACGAAGGCCCTGAGTTGTGGAGGCCCTTGGCCCCTGGCGGGAAAGCCAGGTGGCTGGAATGGGCAAGGGAAGTGGACGTGTGGGGAGCCAGGTGGGGCGGTTGGGAGAGGTCAGCAAGGGGCATCCCGGGGCAGGCAGTTGAATTTTCACAACCCTCAGCTCCACGTTTAGGCGAAGGGGTCCGAGACAGCGGTGGGTGGTGACAGTCACACTTCATTTAAGAGCCTAGTTGTGTGGATTTGCACAGCCGTTTGGAGGTAGCAAAGAACCTTTGCATGCTCACGACTTCACTCACTGCGGATGGTTCATGTGACCATCGGAGAGAGGATCCATTTTACAGACCAGATAATGTTATCCCCATTTCCTAGATGAGAAAACCGAGAAGCAGCTAGTCTCCAACCTTTGGAATGTGCAGAGGTGGAGCCGCGCCACCCTCGCGTACTCCGGGGCGTAGGCGCTCCGAGCGGGTGGGGTTGGGTAGGCCCTGGCCCCCAGCCGGCGAGCTCCGTGGGCTGGGTGCTGGTCCTGCCACGCAGCCGCAGAGGCTTGGTCCAGCGGGCAGGCAGCAGGAAGGGAGGCAA